ATTTTAGAATGTGAATATGTCATGTGCTCATATATATATATATAAGGGTATCCACAATGGGATAGCTAAAATTGTTTGTTAAAGTGTGTTATATGACAAAAAGTGATAAAAGTGGGGCCTAAAAATGTTTGTTAAGATGTGTTAAGAGTTTGTTAATTTTAGAGAGTGAGTGGTGGTGCAATGGATGTGTTAAGGTGGGTGAAAAATATATATATGTGTGTGTGTGTGTATATAATAAATAAAATAAATAAATAATTTAATTTAATAAAAAATTTCAAGCCCAAAATTAAATTTCAAGTCCAAAAAAAAATCCAAAAAAAAAAAAAAATTGCCGTTGACCGATCAACCGGCTGGTCAACCCGTAAGACAAAAAAAAGCTTCCCTTCCCTCGCTAGAGCGCTCACTACAGATAACAAAGAACTTAGCAGCTGACTCTAATTGACACCCCTAACACATGCGTTAACAGATCCACTGCAGCACCAAACAATGTCCTTCGCTAGCCAAAAGTTGACAACTGACACTAACACATAACTGTCCATTATGGATACTCTAATAGTCAAAAATGATTTAGAATTCTAAATAATGAAGTCTAAATCCACTATTAGTGTGTTGCAGTGGGGTCCATCACTACTGATGTGATGGATTATCTTTTTCTTTTTTTTTTCTCTCTCTCTCTCCATGCCAGCTCATTAGAGCTGTTGGGTTAGAGCTCCCAAGCAGTGCTCATATAATAGTATAGATGGGTAGTTTAGTTATTTTGTAAAAACTTATTTTTATAAACAAAATATTTTAGAATGTGAATATTTGAATAAAGAAAATTTAAAATTAAATTTATGGATTGAGGTCTCGTTTAGAAATATGTTATTTTAGTAACACTTTAACTAAAATATGAGGTAAAAAAACTTATATGTTTAGAATTACTTCTTTATTTTTTACGAAAATATGTGCAAAAAGTAAAAAGAAAAGAGAATCTTTAACTTTTTGATATAGGTTATAGGTATTTTGGTTTTTTTTTAGTAACTTTTTTTATTTTTAAACTAAAACATGTTACTACCCAAACAAAGCCTGAGTACCTAATTAAGTGAGAGATAGATTATTCACATAATTTCCCATTTATGAATTTTTATTTATTAATAAAATCATACAAAGGTTACTCGGTGGTTTTGGAGTTTTATACCATCCAGGAGCGTTTTGGCTAATAAAATCATACAAAGGTTACTCGGTGGTTTTGGAGTTTTATACCATCCAGGAGCGTTTTGGCCCGGTGATAAAAAATTAATTTTTTGATTTTTTAATTTTTTTAAAATCACATTGGGGGTGTTTAGGAAAGGCTTTTTTCAAGTTTTTTGGGTTAAAATTCACAGAAAGATAAAATAAGTTAAAATAATTAATAAGATAAAATATCACATCAAATTCATATCATTTCATTTTTTCTCTCACATACATTACATCCAACTATAAAAAAAATCCAACTATCTTCCCCATACAAAAATTTTAGCCTACTAAAATAGCCAAAAACTAAAAGAGCTTACTAAAATAGTAACTTCCCAAACATCCACATTATCTCTTTATTTTTTTACACAAAAATGTTAAAAAAGCCACAAAAAAATCAAAAGTTAACTTTTCACTAATTTTTCAAAGGTCCAGTTTATCTCAAGTTGAGATCAAGACTGGACCCGTCCAGTTCGGCCCATGGGGTCTATTTTTGGACCCGTTTTGATAATCTGAACCGTTCAATGTATAGAACTCGTCGAGTACTACATGCCTTTAAAAAATCATGTTAATCGGATATCAATAGCTATGTGATCAAATCAGTTTTGTATAAAAACAATGGACGGTGAAACAATTAACGGTTTATAAAAAACTGTTTTGTTCATATAGCTATCGATATCCGATCAACGTGATTTTTTACAGGCATATAGCACTTGACGAGTTCTATACATTAAACGGTTCGGATTATGAAAATGAGCCCATAATAGACCCCCACAGGCTCAACAGTACGATCCAATCCGATCTTAAACTGAACCAAAGTCACTGCCTTTCTCAAAATACCACCCACTTTGTGCCATGCGTAGTTGTCTTTCAAAAAATTAACACAAAAATGATGAGCGTATAAAAAATAAGTTGTCCCACCATATGAATGCGTATCAAGACCCTTCTATGATTTTTCATTTGTAATGAGGCATGGAATAACTAATCCCAACCTTTGAAAAAGGAAAATTATTTAGTACTATTGGGTAAGATTACTTGTTTTAACTTTATTTTTATTAATTCAATAGCGAAATTTATCACTTTTATATTATTTTTTAAGTTGAATAAAGTGAAGAAGGAAAATGTTTTGTGGCCCGAATCTGCTTGCCCCGAATGCCCAAAACGACGTTGTTTTGGGCATTCCTTTTTTTTTTTTTCTTTTTTTCCGCCATTTTCGACCTCTGCAATGCAGAGGAAGAGGGAGAGAAAGAGAGGGAGAGGGAGAGGGAATCCCTGGAGATGCTTAGTGTGAAGTCATATTGGATGATTTTGTGTTGCATAAATCTCCTCCCCTCCCCTCCCCTCCCCTCCCCCTCCTTCCCTTCTTCGTCTTCCTCCTTTCTTCTGCTGAAAAGAAAATAAAAAAAAAAAATTAGGAGCATTCGGGGCGTCTTGTTTTCGGGCCCCCAATCACTACCGAGTGAAAAATTACTCTAAGATTGACAAATAATCTCTCATTGAAAAGACTATAACAGGACAGATGTAATTTTAAGAGCATTAAAATTTATTATTTTAAAATAGAGTATGTTAAAATGACATTTCATCGTAGAAAAGGGCTAAATTGATATAATGATCTTCCAACTCATGCATATGTGAATGCGACGGTCTCAATAGGGTAAAGGATGTTCGGCATGTGCTATTTTTAAAATATGTTATTTTAATATATTATTTTATTTAGATAATAATTATTTTATTTAAGTCTCTATCACCTCTCTGTCACATCACTTTAAATTTAATTCATATTTTACATTTTTTTATAAAAAATTAAAAATAATACTTATTTAAATCATTTTAAATACTGTCAATTAACTGAGCGTATAAGTGCAGTCATTTGAACAAAAGTAACAAGGACAAAGAATCACACCCTTGAAATTTGGCAATAAATTACTTCATAAATTAAGGGATTAAAATTAGAAATATTAGCCCAAAAAAAATTATACAAACATGAAGGAATGCAAATAAGATTTGTACTTCCATAACTTTTTACTTACATCTCAATACAAAATTCCTTACACCTTATGTGTTTATGTGTTTGTAATTTTTTTTCTACCCCATTATTAAATAATTCTTCCATTAAAATATATAGGCAGTTAGCATGTGCTTGCTAAAAACATAAAAAAGCTGATGATACATGGGGGGCTGGGAATGAAATTATCTACCGCAGAAAAAGGCCTTTCTTGGGCATCAAGCCACTGCCAAACAGCAACAGTGGAATAAAATGAAATGACAGAGGACATGTTTATACTTTGACCCCGTTTGCCATACAATATTTTTAATCTCAAAATTAAAAAATTATTAAAAAATTAAAATACCTATAACCTATATTAAAAAATTAAAAATTATATTTTTTTTTTTACTTTTTACATAGTTTTTCGTAAAAAAATCAAAAAATCATTCCAAACATACTAATTTTTTTTACCTCATATTTCAACTAAAAAATCAAAAAATTATCAAAATACTCATATTTCAACTAAAAAATCAAAAAATTATCAAAATAACTTATTCCTAAACAAGGTCTTACTCACCATTTAGTTAGGAGATTTAAAAAAGAATTTAAAAAGAAAATAAAAAAAATAGATAAAATATAAATGAAATATATTTATATTTTACTTAATTTCACACACATTTTTTCTTTTTTTTTTCAAATTCCTTCTTAAATCTTCTAACTAAACACAACATTAGAATTTTTTCAAGAAATACTACTACACTAGGTAGTTCTTATCACCATTGAGAGTAGAAATTTGCTGTGAAAGGGATGAGCCCAGACAGACTGGAGAAAAAGCTCACAATGAGACCTTTAATTTTAGTTCTATAAAAAACTCTAGTAATATTATAAGGAGTGGGATTCACATGTAATTTGATGTGATGTATGTATATTTTTTTTCTCTGGTCACATTATTAATTTTTTTTTTAAAAATTTAAAATTAAATCTCTCTACCATAACTGCAAATACAAAATGTCGATTGACAATTACATGACAACATCTTGCCTGTTGTCTTGCCAACTTCCAAGAGCAGTCCATGACATAATTATGTACACTGAAACAATGCACAAAATATACCCATTGTCGAAATGTGTATACAATACACTGCATAGATTGTAAATGGTCTATATCCAAAAACCCATATTCAAAATGTATTGACCTCAATTAAAATTGTTGACTCCACTATTTTGAATTAATAAAAATTTGTATTTTGTTCATGCATTACTACATAGCACAGCAGCCCTAGTAATACCTTCACCAAGCAACAGCTGCCATCCATTACTATTTCACCAATCCTGGATGGCTAAGGCCTATTAGTGCAACCTAACCCAATAATGTACTAAATTAACGCAATGTGTCAAACTTGTCCTCTATAAATACAAGGTGGCAGATATTGGCATTGTTTGGAAAGTGAGTTTGGGGCTAAAAATAGCCACAAAAAACAAAATAAATTTTTTAGCTCTTAATAAGACAAAATATCACATCTAACCTATAACTATTATATTTTTTCTCTCACAAAAAAACTAAAAAAGCCAAAAATCAGCCAAAAATCTTTTCCAAACCAAACTTTTTAGCCCCAAACTAAAATAGCCAAAAAAGTCAATAAGTCAAAAACCAACTCACTTTCCAAACTAAGCCAATACCACTTGAAACATCTAGTTCAAATGCCACCACATGCCATTTTAAGCTCAAATATATTAATTCTTTGAAACACACAGCATATGTCTATTATGAAAATTCAAACCAAATATTTGACAACACTAAATTCCAAACAATGAAATGATTATGAATAGCTAGTCCAAAATCACAGTCAAGGAGTCTGTCTCGTTAAAGATAAGCAATAGAAAACACAAGATAATGGACATACAAACCAAATTAGCCAGTCGTCCACAGTTCTGGTTGACATGTTAAAACCTATGACAGTACCAAAAACCCACAACACAAGGTCAAATCATAGGAGAACCGTCTCCTTAGAAATAAAAAACAAAACCAGACACACAAGTTATAATTTCAAATAAATTGAGTTAGAGACCTAACAGGTTACACCAAGGCAATGCTGCTGCTGCCACCAGGAGGCTTACGAACCCCGCCAAAGTAGTCTCGAGATTCTACCTTCCCATCAGCAAAAATATTGTTGCCGCTCATTTCTCGCAGCTTAGCTGAACTCAGTGATCTCTCAGCAGATGTTGGTGGAACATCTCCTTTGAAAATGTTATTTCCATTCAGCTCTGCAAATTTCTGGTTGGGAATCTTCTTTGCTGTCTTGATTATGGGCTCCTCATTAAACAAGTCGCTGCTCTGACCTCCAGCGGGCTATGGATTAGTAACAGAGTTCAAATTGTGTCAGATTATGAAGTGTAGGAAAGAAAATATGCATATAAACAAGTGAGAATCATGTGGTATGGAAAAAAATTAAGGGCAAATCTTGAGCTATGAATGAGTGAATTAATACAATTAGCGTAGTAGCAAGCCAAGTAAAGTTCCTCGTCCAAAATATTACAGGGGGTCATTCAAGTTACACACTTCCACATAGGTATTCATTATATTCTTTTAATTAACAACAAATAAGTGGCAGTATACACAGTTCCACACAGGGGGTCATTCAGTTTGACATTAACTTTTTCCAGTCTATGCACTCGAACACAGGCATACTAAAATTTCCAAATCTCCCCGGAAAATATTAAAATTAAGGCAGTTGTGTGCATATAAAGACAACACAAAATGAGGCATTTCTGCATCCACACAATTCACTTACATTAGAAACTTTGACAGATGTGCGTATGTTACGTGGTGCAGGTTCTCCAATTTCTATGCTTTCTCTTAAGGCCAAAGCTCGAGCAGCCAACAGCCGTGGTTGAATTTCAGGAGGCGGAGCAAAGATGTCATTCCCACTAAGTTCCTTGCACTTAGCATCAGAAAGTTGCTTCTTCAACTTGGCCTCCGATTCACTTTCTAGCGTCCCACTCAACTCACGCTGCTTTGCCACCTCATGCAGTGCAGTTGGCTTCTTGAGAGAAACACTTTCTTCTTCACCAAATGAGATGTGACTGATTCCAGCGACCGCTTGCTGATTACAACTCCAACCATTAGAATTATAAAAAGTGATTAATGATGTACATTTAAACTGACAGCAAAACAGAGATTCTATATTGCCAACAAATTTCCATAATAGCAATGATTTGTTATATACCTGGTACATACGTAACCCAGTTTTGTTATTTGGAGTAGCGTTCACATCAGATTCTAGTGCCCCATTTTCTGCATCAGCAGCAAAAATGGAGCTACCAGTCATCTCCTTTAATTTATACCCTGAACAAGGTTTCCTGGAGTGTTGCAAAGCTAACTGTTTCAGCAACCCATATAAACAAGAAAAAGAACTCAACTGATGCATTATCAATATATCACCTTATGAATGAAACCAGAAAAATGCAAAATGACCTAGTGAAAATTTTTAGTGCATATGCAATAAATCATATTATTTCAAAGTTCATAAACAAATCCAAATTTAGCTTGCTGACTGCATTTAATCTTGAAGTATTCTCAAAAGAATATTTCAAAATAGACCAAATCAGAGGAAGATTAAATAAAGACAAAATATTATTATTTTATCCCCTAATTGTCTAACCCTCTGCTCAGTCATATACCCATCTCATCGCCGTATACTCCTAAATGGCCATATGAATGGGGTAGATGGAACAATTAGAAGGTTTGTTCCGTTGTCGGAGGAAACTTATATAAGGAAAATCATTCTATTTGGGAACAGGAATTGGATAGACATCAGAGGGAGCTGTCTGGGCAGCTAGATCCCAGTGCAAAGTTTAATGGAAAATATGACAATATAAGAGTAACTCATTTTCAGTATCTGGTTGATCAAAAGTTATGTAGTGTGAATTATTTCCTGACCATCAGTGAACCAAAATGTACAGGCAATGCTAAAGAATTAGCATTTTATTTCAAGCCCTAAAAAATATGCCAAAGATTTGAAACTTAATATCCTAGATTTGAAACTTAATATCCTATTTGGCTTAGAACAGATTGGGTTTAAGCTGGGGTTCGAGATCTATGTTTGGAAAAGGAAAATGGAATAGATAGAAAAAAAAAAAAAGATTTTGGTTCTTTTGTTTGATTGGATTAGAAAAATGAGAAGACAAATTGAATATATATTTATAATATAAAAAAGAGGCAATTTTTTATTTGTGAAGTGCTAGAGACATTGATTCACAAATTCACCCATAATGACGTGGCAAGGGAGTTGTTGACCTATATCAATAGATGTAAAACAAATCAAACATGGACAACTATCACACCGCATCATTGTGGGTCAAATTGTGAGAGCTTTTTGGGAATCTCAAACATTTTCCTTTTTATTTAGTTACCCATAAAGGATGAATATATTATATTTTTAACTAATTTCATTTTTCTTTCTTATTCTATTTTCTGAGAAATCCAATATCCTAAATCCAAACATAGCATGAAGTGAAGGGGTTTTTTTTATTATTAGAAGCCATGCCCCTTCCTAATAGTAGCTATAACTATAATTCTTGACAATAGTCACTGATCCTAATTACGCACATATACTGTATTACACCCCCTTCCAAGATGAAGATTCTGACGTCACAATATGTTAAAAAACTAATTTAGTTCTTCTACTACACCGAATTAGAGGGATATGTTCTATAATCGACTATGATAGATCTAATTGCAACATTAGGTATTACAGAGCATAAGAAAGTGTGAACTCTCATATAGAACTAATCAGCAAAACTAACAAAACTATAGTATTTCATACAAAGTGATCCCATAGACAACACATCAAAGAACAAATATGTGGCCTGACAATCCCAACTCAAAAGATCAAGCATTTCAATTCAAAGCATCAGATAGAGAGAGCAAGATAACTGAACAGAGGAAAATCTCTGAACTTCAACCCCCAAAAAATGCCAAAAGAGAAATATGAACATTGTGAAAACAAGCTCAAATCAAACAAACAAACAAATAAATTTTCCACAAGGTCTCTACCAAAGAGGGCATTGAATTAGAAAATCACGAATAGAAAGAATAAATAAATTTACAAGAAAAAAAAATGTCTATATAGATAAATATTATACAACCAAAATTTTCAATTTTTTGGACATAAATTTGACTGGATCTCTCACCTTTTGTTCAAACTCTCAACTTCTTCATCCGTAACCTGACCTCCGAACACCACCTTACTGATCCCATCCGATGGCTGACATTATTCCCAAAAAAAAAACAAAAAAACAAAATTAAAAAAAGATGACAAAAAATTTAAAAAATAGTGAAATGAAAAGTCAATCGCTGAAATCTCAAAAATTAAAAAGAAGAAAATTGAAATTGAACCTGGTGAGAACGAGCAGCTGAGGCGGTGGAGGGGGAATAGGAGGGAGGAATTTCAGACCAGGTGAGTAGATCTGCAGTGGATGTGTGAGACTTCCTCACCGGAGTGCTTCTCTCCATTCTTCCTTCCTTCTCGAACAAATCAAAATGCTCCAATCACAAATCAAACAGATTCCAGATGCTTCTCTCTCTCTTCTCCAACGACACACTCTCTGCGTCTCCCTTTCTCTCTCTAATATTCACTCTCTCTCTCTCTCTCTCTCTCTCCACACACACGATATGAGATCCGTCCCTTCCGAAATGACGACGCTGTCCTCCGTTCTCTCTCTCTCTCTAGTATTTTTTCCCCTCTCTCTCTTGTTGGTGGTGTTGTGTTGCGAGCTACGACCGCTACTACTTGGGTACTGTGGTTGTTTTAAAACCGTTGCGGAGTCGGTGTGTGCGTAGCACCGCAATTTGAATTTTAATTCCGCCTTTTTTTTAATTTATTTAAACGGAAGCACGTGCGACAGAGAGACTCCACCTGTCGCTGTTCATCATAATACCCCTTTACTTAGAATATCCATATGCGGCAAATTAAAAGCTTCCGTTTGCGATGTGAGTTGATTTTTTAATTTTTTAATTTTTTTAATTATTTTAATTTAGGTTAAAAAGTTTAATTTAAAAAGATTTTTTTATTTTTTAAATTTTTTTATGAGAGAAGTGTGTAATGATTATGAGTTAGATGCGATATTTTGTTTGTTATGACTAAAATAGTGGCCTTGTTTGATTTGTTTTTCAAAAAAAATTTTGAAAAAAATTCTCTACAAACAAATTTTTAAGAGTAATCAAATCAAACAAATTTTTTCAAAAAAAATCTCAAAATTTTGTTTGGTTACCTACTTTCCAAAATCATTCTCTCTCATACACATCAAATCAATCACTTTTTTTAAAGGAAAATGATTGGTGGCCCTAAAAAATTTGCCCCTAATGCCCCTAATTTCTATTTTTAGAAATTGTTTTCTTTTTTTCTTTCTTTTTTCCTTTTTTTTTTTTTTTTTTTTTACCTAAAGTGGAAATTTCGGGGCATTCGAGCCCCGAAATTCGGGCCCTCAAGCAGCGCCGTTTTTTAAAACCCTCTCCTCAAAACAATTTTCCAAAACTATTTTTGAAAAAAGACAAACCAAACAAGTTTTCGTACTTTTTATCTCAAAAATTACTCTACAAACACAAACCAAACGCACCCAGTCTATTTTGTTTTTTGTGGTTATTTTAGCCCCAAAACAACTTGCCAAACACCACCTTAAATTTTATCTTAAAATATTATTAAAAAATTTATTTTCTATTTTAAGAGTTACTTTTTTATTTATTTCTCTCAGCAAACTCCCTATTCTTTTTTCTATTTTATTAAAATAATATTTTTAATTATAAGTGATGAAAAGCAACAGTATTAAAATAATATTTTAATTATAAGTGATAGGAAGCAACAGTACATGCTGTACGGGGAGCAGATATCCCGGCAAGCCCGTACTCCTTTCTTCCGAGCTCCGTTACTGTCCGATCACCTGCGAGCAAATAACGGTGAGCTACCCGGCGGTGTGTGGCCGAAAAACCCCTCCGACGATCAAGTTAGAACACAGACACAGGCGAATAGATAGAGAGAAGGGTGAGTGTTGAGTGTTTTGTGTCTGTCTCACCAAATTTTTCCATCTCAACACATGGGGGGCGCAGATTCGCTTATATACTTTCTGCGTCCCAAATCTACTCTCATTCGCCTCTCGACACGTGGTGCTGCTATCCCATCTGTCAGCACAAATCTTACTGGGCACCACCTAACCCAACTGCCCTCCCATTCTCCTAGGAGCTCGGCAACCGGTCAGTACCATCTCGGCCATCGTCTTCCATACTGCGCTTCTTGCCCAAGTATTTTAACAGCTAAGCTCAGATGGGGACCGAACTCGGCGGCATCTCGGCATAGCCGAGCTTGGGACAACTCACGCTTGTCCGCGGTCAACCAACCTGCCGAGCAAACAGGTACCCCGACGTCACAACCACGGATCCTCGCAACTTGTTCAATCCATGCGCTGCCTTAACCGAGCAGCTTCCTCCAAGGTCGGGCAATACAGCTCGGTCCCACACCCGTTCGACCCAAATCTGCACGGCGCAACTCAGTCTGACCCAAATCTGTCCGGCCCTTACCACGGCCCAATCCAGATCATAAATCTCCCTCTTAATTGCCCCTTAATTCCGTCCGCGAAAGTGTGACTGGGATTACTCACTTCGACTGGGATAACATTTCTTCGGTCTTCAGAATGCTAAATGGCGACCGAGCTAGTTAACATTACTGTCTGCAAACTTGCTCGGTTATACTCCTCGGCTGACGTCCTCTTCTTTGAAAGTAGCCCGGTTGGCTCCTCAACTCTTCAACCTGTCTCTTCAGTTCTGACGTCGCCATAATTGGGGACACGTGGCGGGCTGCCATTGGTTCTCGAGCAGCCAACCCGCCGTTTTGCCAGAATTTGAATTTGGGCGGTCTCGTTTCCTCTATAAACATCCCCCCTCATCTTCCATGAGGTCTTATTGACTCACTGCCATTCCAAGCAACCCAAAGCTCTTGCCTTTCCTTTGCCATTCCCGAACTTGCGCTCGACTCGAAGAAGAAGCAGTCACTGCTCCATATTGGTAAGCTCTCCAGCCCTTGTTATTTGTTATTTTCATTGATACTTCAGACAATAGGGCAGTAGAACGTAGTTCTTAGGACATAGGACATAGAAATCATCTCAAACCTCCCACTATTCATGGTGTTCTTCATTTTTGCTGATGAACTTTCGAAGAACTGGGGCGGTCCAGGCTCCAGGACTTCGTTTGATCCAAAAAACAACCCCCGACCGAGCTAATAAAACGTTTGCCCCAACCTTAGTGAAAACCGGGGTAGGCAAAGGGTTTGGTCGATCGACTGGGCTAATAGCTGGTCCGGTTTAAGGCCGGGCTCCTTGGCTAACCTTCAAAACCGAGGTGGTTTGGCACAATCTATGACCGAGCTAAAGTCAAGCTCGTTTCGCGCGACCGCGCTTCCTCTTACACTTGACAACCTTTTCCTGCAGAGTCCAAGTGGACCCCTGACCACTTCCGAGGCTCTCAAAGACCGAGCAGCCAACAATCCACAAGTCAGTGCCAAACCTCCTCAGCCGAGAAAATTTGGCCGGTCCTTCGTGGGGAAATTTTGATTTCTCGTAGATACTCCGGCTGCTATGGCTGCGTTCAGGGAGGAGTACGGCATCCCAGCCGATGTCCACCTTGAATTTGCAGAAATTGAGACAACGCCATGGGGCAGGGAGGAATGCCCCTTCACCGTGCTATCAATCGTCGAAGGGGGCCTTCGTTTCCCACTCAACCCATTGATCACCGAGTTCCTCCGCCACACCGGGCTTGCACCCACTCAAGTGTCCACCAACACCTACCGAATAATAAACGGTGTCCATGAACTTAACAACCGGCTAGGCACAAACTTAGGCTTAGCTGAGATATTGCGACAATATACTCTCGGTCACACAGGCGATGGTCTCGCTTACTATCTTAAGATCAGGCCGGGCAAAGAAAAAATCGTGACCGGAACACCGGACAAAGACCTGCACGATGACGATTTTTTCTGGGTAACCGGTAATTACGAAACAGTCGAGGTACCAGGTTGGTTCATCAGCAAGAACTTCGGTTCCACATGTAAGCCGTGCTGTCTTGTTTGGTCAATTCGTTTTAATTATTCTACGCTTAACCACTTCCCTGTTCCCCATGCAGCAATTCAAGCCTTGCAAGCAAACTACCAATACCCCAACGCAGAAGCAATCCGGACCGTGCTCCGCTACAGCCACCGAGATTGCAACGAACTGCTCGGCTACGTGCCAACTTACAGATACTCAGCACCACGCCAGAGTAAAGTTACAGAGTTTCTCCGTGCTCTAACTCCTCCCCGAGACCCAACTCTGCCAGACGTCCCGTTTATCCGGTTATCCGAAGCCGAGGAGATGGCGAAAAGGAGTCGCATCAAGAACTTGCTGACCGCGACATCGGCCGAAATACCGAGCATTGTCCCCCATTCCCAAGTTGTCGGTCAATCCAGTGGCCCTGTCGTTGCCTTGGCGTCTCCAACTGCTGGGCAATCCAGGCAAGAAGCTCGCCGGGCTAGCAAAAGGCCTCGCGCAGATCCATCTGCCGAGCTGGTTGCCGAGCTCTCCACCGAGCAACTCACAGAAGCTGCAGACCCAACTCCAGCATGGCGGCTGCAGCTTAAGCACTAGGGAAAAGACATCCCGGCTAACGCTTCGATCAAGGGTGATAAAGAGCACCTGCTTGCCTTTGATCTCTCAAAAGCCCTGCTTTTACCGAGTGATGTGGTCGATAGCGACCACGTTTCGGACACTCGGCTTGTGAAGTCTTCAGTAAAGTCCATGGCCAGGGTAAGTCTTAATCTTTTGCTGAAATTTTTGTTAAGTGTTTGCACGGTTTCTAATTTGTCCAAGCTTTTTTGCTTGCAGGCTATCCAAAAGCAGCACCTGGTCCTGGAGCGAATCCACTGACTGCGGCAGAAGGCGAATGACACGGCCGACCAAGTCCAGAGTCTGCAGACCGAGCTTGGCCGAGCAAAGTCCTCACATCAAGTGGCCAATGCTGATAATAACAGGTTGCTCGGCCAGCTTGGGGAGGCCGAGAAGAAGAGAGACGAACTTCAGGCCGAGCTGGATAAGCTCAAGGCATCCAGGGAGAAGGAGTGTGAGGATGCCAACAACGCCGGCTTCAAAGAGGCCGAGGATAGCTATAAGAAGCAGGTCTTTGCTACTCAGGATATTTATTTCAAAGCGGGCTAGAAGTCAGCCTGCGAACATCTCAGTCAAGGCCCTGACACCGATGTCTTTGCCACTCCCCCGGTTGCCTTCCTACCGGTCTACCTCGTGCCTTATGCCAACGACGTCTTCAGCGCGTTGCAAGCTGAGGCCGAGGAGGAACTTGCCAAAGAAACCGAGGTAAATGCCGAGGAGGGAAGCGGCGAGGAGTTGCCCGGAGAAAAAGAGGCCGGTGCCCAAGAGCGAACAACGGTTGATCTGGAGGCCGCTGAAGATGAGTTCTCCCATCTTTCCCCCTTAGTGTAGTCCTCTTTTCCTTTTATTTTGTGCTTTGTGTATGTAACCGGGCTCTATGCCCCTCCTTTGTACTTATTTTCTCATCAATGAAAGAGCCTTAATTTCACAAAAGTTTGCACGATTTTCTCCAACTCTAACTTTAGCAAAACATCTCGGTTTAGACCACCAGGCCTAACCGGAATGCACATCGCGGTATAAGTAGCAAAATTGAACTTCGTCGACCGGAACAACCATCTCGGTGGGAACATCAAAGTTGAACAAACCATCAAC